AAATGTGTTGTTGAGATGCTGGGGAGACATCAGAACGGGGACTGAAGAGACCCAGAAAAGGGGATACACCAAACATGGATACAGTCTCTTGTCTCACCTTGCATTTCTGTTCTAGGCGGTGCTAGCCCAAAGGAAGCACAGTTCTAACAAAGCACTGCTGAGCCAACCACAGTGGTACACACTTGTAATCCCAACTACTCGTAGACTGAGGCAGGAAGACAGTAAGTTCAAGACCAGTGAGACCCTATCTCAAAATAAGATTTAAAAATGGATAGGGGAATAGTTCAGTGGAAAAGCACCCACCTAGCATGCATGACACCCTGAGTTCAATCTCCAGCACTGCTAAGAAAAAAAAGAGAGAGAGAAAGCCTTGATGGCCTAATTCTTACCTTTCACATTTATATTCAGAGGCTATCGTTGTTTATATGCATGATGGTACAAGGAACAAGAATTCCTAGGTTCTATTCTTGGTTCAGTCACTGATAAACAGAGTATCTGTTGGTGGAAAATATGAGGTGCCTGGAAATTCAGAGCTGACTGTTCATAACCACAAGGCACTTATGCGAGTGCCTAGTATGTGCCCAGAATTGAATATTAATTTGAAGACGCACACAGCAGCCAGGTGAAATAAATAAGCGTCAGTGTACAGAGAGGTAAATAGGACGAGGGAAAAAGAGCCTGAGGTTCCAGGGAAAGAGAAGCCATTTGTCCAGGCTGCAAGAGACTTACTTCCAGCCTGCAGAGACCAGAGGAAGCAGCTGTGCTTGCCCCTGCTCTGAGTTTCGACTCTCAGCCACACTATCCCTCCTTTACCCAAACATCTGTCTCATTTGTTCTCCCCCCTCCCTGCCTGTATCTCAGATTACTGCTCTGTCCTGTTACCTCTGTACTGGAGGGTTTGTATGCCTTCCAAAGTAGAATGGCCGAGGTGACCCAGAGCTGATGAGCTTGCCTGACATCTATGGGTGTGCCTCCCTCACCCACTCACAGCCATCAGCAATCAGAAGGCCACCCAGGGAGATGCAATATAGACAGAGAGGGGCTGTACAGGCATAAGGCAGAAAAAGCCAATTAGTTTCTAGGTGTGAGAGTCCAGCATCTAAGGCTGACACTTCAACAGGGACATTCCAGACCCAGCTTTGGGAGATCCGAAAGGACATGAGTGCAAACTACTCCTCAGTTGAGCCTTTGCATAGAAACATCAAGTTGGTCTCAGGGATAGATCAATTATAGAACAAAGAACTTAGAAGCCTGTTTAGTCCAGACCTCTGCCTTCAGGCTTCAGAACCTTGGCTAATCCAAGCTGAACAAATGGGCATAACATGTTAAAACCTGCCTCAATGGAGAGGCTTTAACTTCCAGCAATACTCTCTTTACTGGACTGCTTTTCAGCCAGGACACACCAGTACAGCTACATCAGTTATTAAAATACTAAAACACTTAGGCACATGTTTGTATACAATATGGCCCCGGGTCCTCTGAACAACCATGACCTATCCCTAGGGCAGTTTTTGCTGTTGTTTTTTAGTACTGAGAATTGAATGCAGAGCATTCACACTGGATTCCTTTTGTGTGTGTGTGTGTGTGTGTGTGTGTGTGTGTGCGCGTGCGCGCGTGCGTTATTTTTTTGAGACAGGATTCCCTTTTTTTTATTGTATTTTATATTCTGAGACAAAGTCTCGCTAAATTGCCCAGGTTGAGCTCAAACTTGCAATCCTCCTGCCTCCACCTCCCAGAGTACTGGGATTACAAACAAGTCCCACTGCACCCAACCTCCCAGGGCAGCTTTACAACCCAGGAACTAAAGAGTTACTGTTGGCCAGAAGGAGTGGTGAACAAAAACCCCAGCATTCAGGAGGCTCAGGCAAGAGGATCATGACTCTGAAGCCTGTTCCAGCACCACCATTTGTTGTTACATAGTTTTACTATTATCCTTCACTGTTCCATTCAACAATGCCATCCCACCTTAAAACTTTCAATGGTTTTCCTACTTTTTATGGACTAAATGCCACACCTTACAATTGTTATTCAATTGAATTGTTATTCAAAGCCTTTCACATCATCCTATAGTCTCCTTCATGGCTTCTGTCTCACCAATCCTAGTTATTCAATGTTCCCAAACGGTAATGTTGGTCTTTCTTTGTTCATCTGCTCCTTCTGCCTGGAATAGTCTTCTTTCTGTAATTTATCAAAATCTTACTAGGCACCTTAAGATCTCCCCAAATGTCCCACTTTGGTGAAATGAATTGAAAGAGTTGTGCTGCATTTCCAGAAGTGTCACAGCAATATCTAGGTTCTACATTTGGAAAACTTGATGACTATTTTGTATTCTAGTTATGTTTATAGATGCATCTTGCCCCCTCCTAGTCAGAAACTATATCCTGACCATCATATCTAAATGGTCTGGCACAATGTCTTTTCTAGTATGCACTTAACAAATATTTGCATAAATAAGTGAGTGAACAGCCCTAATTCTTTTATCCAAAAGGGCCATTTACTATGTGTTAATGATTTGGGTTGTTTTCCTCTGAAGCTAACCCAGTTGTGGTTGTATCTTTTTTTGCACATGGAGCCCAAATTGCACACCATCCATATCTTAAACTACTGGGTTATTTCACGAAAAAAGCAAGAAGCATGCTTCCCTGTCATTACTTTACCACCCTGGAGTTTGGGACTGCCATCTCTTCCAGCACTAGATCAGTGCATAGGGACCAGCAAATGAGGGGTTCTGGGCAATGCAGGCTGGCCCTACAGATGACAGGAAAGCTGGTGGTAGAGTGAGTTGGCACAGACTGCTGGAGAGAGGAGCCAGGGTGGCTTGCTGGAAAGCAGGGCCAAAATGGGGCTCCAGTTGCTAAGGTCAAGGCCCTGGATAGAGTCCTGGAGGGGCAGTTTTACTACTCTGCTACCAGTATGCTCAGATGTACCCTCTTCCCTGCCTCTTTTCCTAGTTCCTCCTCCCCCACTGTCCCTCCAGAGGAATAGCTCTGAGCTGGGCATATGACCTATAAGACAGAGGAAATTCTGATGTAAGATGTCTGGGCAACAATTTCTTCTTCTGTATTTTTATTTTATTGCTGGCAATGAAACCCAGTATGCTGTACTACCGAGCTACAGCCCCAGCCCCAGGTCTTCTTAACAACAACAACAAAAAGGAGACAAGAAGGTAAAAATCAAAGCCACTGCCTGAATCTCATCCCATTGAAAAATCCAGAAAGAGAAGGTCATAGTCTCAGCAGATGAATTTCAGGGTTCTAGGAGGCTGAGATAAAGAAACAAGTGACCCATCAGTGTCCACGTTCAGTCTCTTGTTAAAAGTCACAGAGTAACAGCCAGTTCTAGAACAGGAAGCTGGGAACGATTTTCTGGAGAAGGTTTGGTCTGGAAAAAGAAACTGAACAAGAGGACCAAATCAGACTTAACCAGGAGGTAAACCCAGCAGATCCAAGTGCTGATGGCTCAGACTGGAGGCTCCATACAAGAGATTCCAGACTTGGAGGAAAAAGCTCACCAGGGCAAAAGAAATGGTGAGCAGGGAGAGGGAAGGATGTCAGTGACTTCAGTGTCACAAAGCTGGAGTTTTTCTATCTTCAATGTGTGCAAAGGATCCCCCGGAGTCCTTTAAAGGCCTCTCACCTGTACACACTCAACTGAGCCCAGTCACCTGGGACTGAGTGGCCAAGATGAGGAGAAGTAGAAAGACTCAGGGGAGGGAGAAGGTTAGCTGCGAGAAGGCAGGCTGGGGCCCTGGAAGAAGACTCTTCCTATGCAGAGCTGTGCAACCCTGGCTGAGCGAAGCCATCCTCCAGCGGCCACAAAATCTTAGCATCCAGACTGAATGGAACCTTAGAGGTGTGGTAGACTAAATTCTTCCTTTTCTTAAGAAGCTGTCACTACCCTCTTTGAATCCTCGGCTAACTCCTGGTAGGGCCAGTCAGCCAACTCACTGCCACAGACAGGTTACGCCATAAATATACGCCTCTAACCTGATCCAGCTGTTACTGTCCCTAGTAATTCCCTCTTTTTGGCCACAGTAGGCAAAGCACCACACCCTACTCTAGGAGAGGAATTGACACAAGTACACATCTCTCCTCGAGTTTCCTGAAAGGGGAAGTGAAGCCTGGGAGCCAGAGCTTCAGAACCCTGAACCTGCTGCCCCTCAGGTTGGGAAGGGCACCTGGAGTTCTTGAAATCACCCCCTTCCAAGCTATTCCAATGACCTTTTACTTTGTTAGGCCCATCGAAAATACACTGAAAGTCACTTGGCGGCCCACCCTTACTTTTTAGTAAAAAAGAGACTTTTTCTCCCGTTTTCCTAGAAGAATTGAGGCACGGAAACACCCAAGTGGCTTTGGTGAAATTAAGATGGAAGTAGGAATCTACCCACTGCCCTGTCCACTGCCGCCTACTGTCGCCAGGGCAGGGTCTGGAAAGTTTGGTAGAATCGGCAGATTTTGCGCGGAAGGCTTCAGAAAACTAGCAGAAAGCGGCCGGGAAGAGGAGAGGACGCGGCTCAGCGGAAAGGTGGGAGCCCCGGCGTTAGAAGACGGGGTTAGTAGGGGTGCTGGGCTGACAAGGTCGCTCTGAGAAGTCAGGCTAAGAAGAGAATCGCCGAAGACGCAGCAGGAGAGGAAACGCAGCGAGCGCAGAGAAGGAGGTCGGCAAAGTTTGGGCCCCGCCGCCGGGAGCGCGCGGCCTCGGCGCAGCCGGCCGAAGGCATCACGGACCCGGACCCCAAGTCGGCGAGCAAACGCAGCCGCGAGCCCGGAGCGGTGGGAAGGGCCCAAGCACCGCCGGCGCCTCGGCCAGGCACCCCCAGGGAGAAGTGAGGAGCCCCGAGGACGGCCCGGCCCCCCTCGGCCCGGCGCAGGCCCGGCGGTGAGCTCGGCTCGTGCCCCGCAGCCCTCGCGCGCCCTCTCCGCGAGCGGGCACCTGGACGGGGTCTGGGCGGAGAGGCGGGTCCCCCGGCGGGGCGCGCCCTCACCCCCGGGGCTACTTACTCCGATTCAGGGGGTTGCCGCCGACCTGCGCCGACGCCACCAGTTCCAGATAGAGCGTCCAGAGCCCCACAGACACCACGGCGAGCAGCAGCAGCAGCCGGAAGCGCCTCCGCAGCAGCCTGGCCGGGCGCAAGAGCAGCAGGAGCGGCGCGGCCCGGGGGCTCCCCATGGCGCAGCGCCCAGGCCCCGCCAGCGCGGGCTGCTGCCCCCGCCCTGCCCCGCCCCGGCCGGGCCCCGCGCCCCGGCGCCCCGAGCCCGGCCCGGCCCGGCGTCTCAGGGCTGCGCCGAGGCCGTGTCCCCCGGCCGCGCTGCCGCGGGGCGCCCGCTCATGCTCCGCTCGCGGGGGCCCCTGGCTGCCGGGCGCCTCGCACGTCTGCTCTTCCCCGAGTGTCCTCCGCGCCCGGCTCCGGCTCTCCGCTCCACGCCTCTCCTCGTCGCTCTCGTCCTCCCTCCCTCCCTGCTCGTGCTCACTCTCACTCGCGCCCAGGGGATAGCTTCCCTAGGGCCCGCCCTCCTGCCTCTCCCCTCTCCTCCTCCAGCTCCGGCGCTGGCTCACACCCCACCTGTCCCGCCTCCGCCTAGGCCCCGCCCCGGCGCAGGTGGGCTCCGCCTCCGAGGAGCCCGGGGACTGGGAAGAGCCCCTCGGGACCCAGCGGGCAGCCAGAGGGGGCGGGGCAACAGGTCACCCGTGCCACCGCCGACTGGGGACGGGTGGAGGCGGAAGGGAGGGGACGAGTTGTGCTCTCGACTCTGACCGAGGGAAACCGAGTCATCGCCCAGGCGCTTGAGGGTGTTTGTCCCAAGCAGAAAAGTGGAGTAGAGGCCAGTTGGGGTTTAGGTGACCCCTGTGTGGCTTCAGGGCTTTTTGTTGCATACAGGTTCCTTGCTTGGGAACCAAGAGTAGACATATTAGTTGAGAGGCAATGAACATTTAATTCAGCCAGATCAGTTTGAAGATCTTCCTTCCTGCCTCAGTCTCCCGTTTGAGAGGCACTGGGGAAGTCATACGGCCCCAGGGGACTCTAACAAGTAGTTTTCTCCCATTCTGGGATGGAATAGCAGTTGGGAGAGAATAGATGTTGGAGAGTTCTGAAGAAGAATTAAAAACCCAAAAAAGGATTTAAGGGTGTACTCAGTTGTAAAGAACCTGCTTAAACCATGCAGGAAGCTCTGGGTTCAATCCTCAGCACAAAGGGGAGGGGAGAAGGACTTGAGAAGACTGTGGCTTTTTATATAGTCTGCATTCCAATTCTGACCTTCAGGAAGTAGACCATTATTATCTCACTTAAATGAGATAAGTGAAGTCCAAAGGAGCTGCTGGAGGTCATTCAGCAGGTGACAGTACAGTTTTCTTTTCCATTCTTGCCTGGAGAAAAAGGTAAGACTGTGGAGAAGATGGAAGATCGAAAATGTCCCTGGACATCTTCAAATCAAGTGTATATCATGCAAATATTGACAAAATAGAGGTCCACAGAATTAAATACTATATTTGCCTTCTCTCTTCTCCACCTTGGTTGGCAGTTAATATCCAATAGTCTCTACTGGACTATTATAACTTTTCCCAACAGCCCGCCTAGCTCCATCCTTCTGCCACACTAACCCTGCCACTGTCTCCTCTGTCTCCAGATGGCCTTAATAAAATCCTGATGTTAGGGGCCGGGGATTTAGCTCAGTGGTTCCGCCGCCTGCCTTGCAAGCGGAAGGATCCGGGTTCGATCCCCAGTACCAAAAAAAAATCCTGATGTGTCCACATACCTGCTCAAAAATATTCAATGGCTTCCCAGTGCTTACTGACTAAAATGCAGACTGTATTAGGCAGGACAATCACAAGTTTGACCCCAGCAGAGACTGTGTTTCAAAATTTTAAAAATAAAAATGAACAAGAATGTGGCTCCACGCAAAAGTCCTATGTTCAATCCCAGTACCAGAAACATAAATTGATTAAATTAAATACAAACTATAAATCTAATTCAAGGACTTCTAAAACATTCTCCATCTTTATATAACCTTATGAAACCTACCCCAACTAAAATGAGTTTTATTCTCAGCCCTCCAGCATACTTTGCTTTAGGCATTTTTTTAAATGGTACTGAGGATTGAACCCAAAGACTCACCCAAGCACTTTACCTCTAAGCTACATTCCCACGTTTTCTTTTCTAATTGATCAAGTTTAACCCTTTCTCTAAGTACATTTCAGGGTCTAGAAAGCTTTCTTGAACCAAGTGTAGAGCTCCGCACCTGTAATTCCAGCTACTGAGGCTGAGACAAGAGAATCATAAGTTTGATATCAGCCTGGACAACTTAGCTGAATCCAAAATAAAAAATAAAAAGGACTAGGGATGTAGCTCAGTGCTAGAGCATTTGCCTAGCATTCACAAGGCCCTGGTTTCAATCCTCAATACCACAAAAAGTAAAAGAAAGCTTTCTTGGGGCAACCCTGTCCTCAACAATGCCTTCCTCCTGGAAATGTAGTAGAACTTGTCATTTATCTTCCATATTGAGACTTAACTTTAAATATGAACTTTGTTTTCTCAGTTTCACCAGAAGGCTTGTCATGGCTTGTGTCTAGATGTCCCCCCAAAGCGTCATGCAGTTTTAAGGTGGGACTGAATCTAGAGTGTGTGATGTTGGAATTAAGGGCATGTGATTAGTAAACCACACAGTGATTGGTTAGGCACTGCCCGAATCACGGAAGTCTGGACAGGATAAAAGGAGCAGAAAGACGCTGTTAAGGTCTCTTGTTGCTTCTGCTGTCTTCCTCCACTAAGAACTGTTGCCCCTCTGGCACCCTGCCTTGGAGCCAGCTGATTATGGATTGAAACCTCTTTGAACCATAAGCCAAATAAACCCCTTCCCCTCTAACTTTGGGTGTCAGGTATTTTGCCTCAGCAAGGAAAGAAAAGTAACTAACACAGGCTTCAAAAGTGGGAACTTCGCATTCCTGGCTCCTAGTAAAATGTAGCACTCAGTAATGTTTGAGGAGGGTAGCACTTTGAGCAAACATCTCCCGTGTAGATCCAAAAGACTACTATTTAGTAGTAACACTTGGGAAATCTGTGACGTTCCAAAGCCACAAATTTGGAGGTCAGGCATGGTAGCGCATGCCTGTAATCCCAGCACTTGGAGGCTGAGGCAAGAGGATCAAAGTGAGTTTGAGGCCAGCCTGGGCTACATAGAGAGTTCTAGGCCAGCCTGCACTACATGGCGAGACCCTATCGCAATAAAACAAAAAATCCAAAGCTACAGATTTGGGAATTTTTTAAGTCCTTCTTTCGGAAGTCCACCGTAGGCATGTGAGCATATACAAGTACAGCTGTCACGTGGGAAGTGACCTGGGCCCCTTTAACCAGAGTCTGTCTCTCACTGGAAGCCACACAACTGGGTGTTAGGCAGAGTCATTTGCAGCACTTTGTCGGGGAGACAGGCAGCAGCCCTACCATGACTCTCCAGGAGACTGGCCCTCCCAAGACGACTCTTACAACCAGTTCATTTAACTAAATGCTCAAAGTAACTGGTAGAGATATAAAATAAGAAATGTGCTGTTTAGTTGAGGAAAAAAAGATATTCACAGAAAAAGAAATCAGACTTTTTTTTCAGCAATGGCAAACAAGGCTTTCTGCCACTGAGCTCTATCCTCAGCACCCCCTTTAATTTTAATTTTAATTTTAATTTTGAGATGGAGTCAAGCTAAAGTTGACCAAACTCCTTTCCAATTTTCAATTCTCTTGCCTCAGCCTCCTCAGCATCTGGGATTACAGGCGTGCACCACCATACCCAACAAAATCAGATACTTTAAAGGCCAAGTTTCCAGTCCAAACAGTGAATTGCAAAGAAATTCAGAGGAGGAAAGAGATCACCCTGCACCCTTCAGTTTTTGTGCCCCTCTTCTCAGTTCTACTCTATTTTGCTTTGTTTTGGTTCTGGGCATGGAGCTCAGGGCCTGTGTGTGCTAAGCAATGCTATACCACTGAGCTACATCTCCAGCCTCTGCATACTCTGAATTCTGTGGCTCTCCTTTCCTCCTCTTCTATTCTCTTTCCTGATGTGGTTGCATCCTTGGCACTGAGATACCCCTCACAGTCAAACCCTGCTTGCTCCATATATATATATATATATTTTTTTTTTAATAGAATTTCACTGTGTAGCACCCACTGGCCTCAAACTTATGATCCTCCTGCCTTAGCCTTCCAAGTAGATGGGCAAAGAATCACAAGCATACAATCCAAATGGCAAGTGAAGAGCAGCTACATTTATTGAAGACGACAGGAAGTTGTGCTCAGGGCAAGTCCTTGCTTACAAACGATATAGCCCTGTGATAGTTAACTGGTTCGTCAACTTGAGTAAGAAAGTCCAACTGATTGGATTAACATAGTTCTGGGAATGGCTGAATGGATTTACTGAAAATGGAAGACCGGCCCTAAGTGTGAGTGGTACCAACCAAGAGGCTTGCAGCCTGACTGGAATAAAAGGGGAACAAAGAAGGAAGTCTTACTTCTGCTTCTTGAGAGGACCTCCAGTCTTCACCTCACCTTATATACCTTATACACCTTACCTCTCCTAGCTGCAGGCATTCAACCATTGACTGGATGCTTTAGATCTCCAGCATGCACACAGCCCTTTTTTACTCTCCCGTTCCTGATTCTGAAGGTGGCCATTGTAAGTTCTTATACATTTGTGTAAGTTCTAGTAAGCACTGACTAATACAGGCAGAAACAAAAAAACAGTGCCAGTGTGATAGGATAGCAAAAGTGCTGCACACAGATCACAGCACACAGCAACAGAAACAGTCCCCAGACAATTCAGGCTTCTGGAATTTAGATATGCACCTCAGCCCAGGTGCCTCTCCTGGATCTCTAGGTGTGATTGACAGGAATGATTGACAGGGTATTGAGTAATCTCAGGGGCTCTCAACATGCATGCTTGTCCCAGAATCCACTCTGGTCTTAATTACATGCTTGACGTGTAGTACATATTTATGAACCTTAAATGAGGTTTGAGTAGGGTTAAGTAGGAGATCATCAATGCATGCACTCTCACCTAGAGGATCAGATAGAGGATCAGAGAGCTCCTAAGTTATTGTTATATGATTTTCTACCTCTCTTAGGACAGTGAAAGGAGGAATGGCCCTAGGGTGCTGTTTAAAATTAAATGGGTGAAAGGGAGTGACTT